GCAGAAAAGGCGATGGGAGGGAGAGAGAGAGGTAGAGAGAGAGAGAGAGAGAGGATAAGGGAAAGGTGAAGGGGGAGAGACACTGAGAGGCAGGGGTCATTCCGATTCCGCCAGTTCGATTCGAATCGATTTCCGCGATTCCGATTTCGAATCGACTCGATTCCGGGATTCCGATTCGCGATTCCGATTTCGAGTTTGCCCGATCCGGCTTCTGCCGATTCGATGCGTCAGCCGATTTCTGCCGGCTTTTGCCGATCCTGCTCCGCTCCGGCTCTGGCCCCCAAGGGGAGGAGGAGGAGGGAGGAGGAACCCCCAGGAGGGAGCCCAACCCCCCCCCCCAGGGGGGTTTTCCAAAAGCCCCGGGACCCCAAACCCCCCCCAGGGGGGGGGTGTCCAAAAGCTCCAGGACCCCAACCCCCTCCCACGGGGGGTCCAAAAGCTCCGGGACCCCAAACCCCCCCGGGGGGGGGGGGGTCCCAAAGCTCCGGGACCCCTCCCCCCAGGGGGAGGTTTTCCAAAAGCCCCGGGATCCCAACCCCCCCCCCAGAGGGGGGTTTTCGAAAGCGCCGGGACCCCAACCGCCCCCCAGGAGGGGGTTTTCCAAAAGCCCCGGGACCCCAACCCCCCCCCTGATGGGGGGTTTTCCAAAAGCTCCAGGACCCCCCTCCCCCCAGAGGGGGTTTTCGAAAGGCCCTGGGACCCCAAACCCCTTCCAGGAAAGGGTTTTCCAAAAGCCCCGGGACCGCAAACCCCCCCAGGGGGGGGGGTTCGAAAAGCTCCGGGACCCCAACCCCCTCCCAGGGGGGGGGTCCAAAAGCCCCGGGACCCCAAACCCCCCCCAGGGGGGGTTTTCGAAAAGCCCCGGGACCCCAACCCTCCCCAGGGGGGAGTTTTCGAAAGGCCCCGGGACCCCAAACCCATCCCAGGGGGGGGGTTCGAAAGGCCGCGGGACCGCAAACACCCCCAGGGGGGGGGTTTTCCAAAAGCCCCAGGACCCCAACCCCCCCCCAGGGGGCGGTTTTCGAAAGGCCCCGGGACCCCAACCCTCCCCAGGGGGAGGTTTTCCAAAAGCCCGGGACACCAAACCCCTCTCAGGAGGGGGTTTCGAAAAGCGCCGGGACACCCCCCCCCCAGGGGGCGGTTTTCGAGAGGCTCTGGGACCCCCCCCCCCCCACGGAGGGGTTTTCGAAAGGCTCCGGGACCCCAAACCCTCTCCAGGGAGGGGTCTAAACCCCCCCCAGGGGGGGTTCCGATTTCGATTCCGATTCGGCTTGACGCGGTCCGGTTTCCGACTCGATCCGGCTCGGACTTGCCGACCTCAGCCGATTTCGATTTGGCTGCCGGCTTTTGCCGATTTCTGCCCATTCGATGCTCCGGTCGACCCGATCCGGCTTATCGATTCGATGCTGGGGCCGCCTGGAGAGGGAGGGATGGGGGAGGAGAAGGGGAATGTGAAGGGGAAGCGGGGCGGGATGGGGGGGAAAGGAGGGGAGGCGAATGAGAAAGGGGGGATGGTACGGGATGGGGGAGGGGGGGAGGAGGGGGAAGGGGAAGGGGAAATCGGGGTTGCTGGGAGGTAAAGCAGGAGGTGTGAGGAAGGGAGGAAAAAGGATGGAGGGATGGAAGGATAGAGGAGGAGGAGGAGGAGGAGGAGGAGGAGGTGGAGGAGGAGGAGGAGGAGGAGGAGGAGGAGGAGGAGGAGGAGGAGGAGGAGGAGGAGGTGGAGGCGGAGGCGGAGGGAGGAGGGGCGCGAGACCGAACCGGGAGTTGACAGGAGGTGGGCTTGTGTGTTGGTGTGTGTGTGTGTGTGTATGCGTGTGTGTGTGTGTGTGTGTGTGTGTGCGTGTGTGTGTGTGTGTGTGCGTGTGCGTGTGCGTGTGTGTGTGTGTGTGTGTGTGTGTGTGGGTTCGCCCGTCTTCCACGCCGCGACGCCGCGCGCGTGGCCGCGACGCCAAAAAAGTGAGTGTGTGCGTCTTTGTGTGTGAGTGTGTGTGAGTGTGCGCGTGTGTACGCCTGCGTGGGTCCTGCAGGCAGCTGCGCAACCAGACCGCGCCGAGGAGTCTACCACCCAGAAGCGCATCCCGTATCAGGAACTCCCGCGGCCCAACAGCGCCCTCTGCCGCGTGCGCGCGAGGCCGCGACCGCCAACAAGGTGTGTTTGTGTGGTGTGGTGTGTGTGTGTGTGTGTGCGTGCGTGCGTGCGTGCGTGCGTGCGTGTGTGTGTGTGTGTGTGTGTGCCCAGCAGACTTGGTGATGATCGATACAGGCGTGTCCCGCCCCAACCAGGCGGGAAGTTGAAGAAGTGTGTGTGTGTGTGTGTGTGTGTGTTCGCCTCCGCCTGGTCGCTGCGCGTGCGGCCGCGACGCCAAAATATGTGTGTGTGTGTGCCGCGGGAGCTGGCCCTGCCGCGCACTCGCTCCCCTCGACTGTCTGCGGCGCCGCTGCCGCGCGCGCCACCGCAGTGCCAAAAAGTGTGTGTGTGTGTGTGTGTGTGTGTGTG